GACACCAAGCGAGGATTCATCTGTTTCCACATTCTGGGTTTTAACGAAGACTCTGAGGAAAAATACAGCACCGCGGCGTATTCCAGCTGGAAACACAGTCCTGGAGCAGCACCTGTAGTTCTGGAGCGTTCCATCGTATTGAATGTTTAATTTTTTAGTTTCTTCACGCTACAGGAAACGTGTATTGTCGTTCAGTTATTCTACTTTTCAACGTCCCTGTTTCTGCGTCCTGACTTGTTTTCCTTTCAGACGTTTCCAGGCCTGTTCTGCGTAACTTAGGGATGCACGTTTTAAACGATTAGCTTAACCAATAGTCAGCCATGTTGGTCAGTAATCAATTAATGGTTGGGTTCAGAATCACCTTTTTTTTTCCCGGACTATTAGCCCACTTTAATATAAGCCACATCCACTAACTTTAAAAAGAACGTACGTATATAGGCCGGACTTGTCTATAAGCAGCAACATGAGATATTTACACAGAAGAACTTTTAATTAATTACGTGCCGGTAACAAACACAAATACGTAAATGCTTTTTTTCCCCAAACAGTGCCTGTAACACGGCTGGTTTAAAATATAAAAAATACAGCAGCCTACCAGGAAAAGTCATTGATCGCTATCTTCATCTTCCTCCTGCACTAAAACCACTAAAGTCTTCAGTGTCGGACTTGAACAGCCTCAGAATCACTTCGTCACACACTTCCTGAGTCTCTCTTTCGTTGTCGCTCTCAGTGTCACTATCGTCTCGAGGCAAATTCGTAAAACTCGTAAAAAATCCATAAATTAGCCGCATCGTTGTTTAAGCCGCAGTTTTCAAAGCGTGTGAAAACAGTAGCGGCTTATAGTCCGGACATTACGGTAACTAGAATGTACAGCTTTAGGTACGTGTAAAGGAGCATGTTTAAAGTGGGTTTTTGCTGCAAAATTAAACCAAAGTTTCAATAAAGAATACAGTTGTTATTATTCTATACTGAGTTATTGAGATCCTTTAAAGATAATGTAGGTGGGAAAAAATGTAGTTGGAAGAAGAACAAAAGGATCGGCTTCTTTCATCACCACAGTTAGCGCTCGTTTTTGCAGATTCTTACAGGCGGTCAGCGAACACACCTGTAACTCCCTCTGAATTAACAGAGTCATGCGTGTCCACGGGGGCATTTTGGGGGTATTTTTTCTAGACGCGAGGGACGGCGACGCTTCCCGACGTTGGACGCACGACTGAGTAGATGATTGACAGGTGTTATTTAACAAGAATTCAACACAAGCTCCGCCCTCCTCCAGGTGTGTAAACATCAACAAATGCTTAATTCCGGAAGCTGTCTGCTACGAGATTTCAAATCGAACCAACATTCAATTCTCTTTTATTATTAAAAACAGAGACACGATATAAACCGTGCAGCATTTTAGATCGATAACTGTTAGTTTAAAGGTTTTGCGGAAGTTTGTTGGAGGCAGCAGATCGCGGCGTCGCTCATTATTTGCACAAAGTAGCCGCGCAGTAAACTTTATGCAAATGAGGATCAGTGGTAATGGTCAATAAATGGTAAGCCACCAAGTGATGAGTGTCGCAAGATGCTCCGCCTGGTGGCACAACCAGGTACTGCAGCATGTTTACAGTACGGTTTTCTGTCTCCTTCGTCTTCCTCCTGATCGGTTCGTATATTTTAATTGATGAAGTTATTAACCGCAATTACACTTGAGCTCGATGAGCCAACATCCAGATGAGTTTGACTCATTGTCCGTCGTACTCTGAGTTCATGGAGTTGCCACACTGCACCACACCTTTTTTTCGTGTGTTTGTTTGGATTTCCTTCCTCCTCCGTTTCAGTATCTGTTCTAACTATAGATTACGTTGGACTGTTTCAACAGCGGCCAATGATTCAGCATCACACTGACGACAGAGTGATCAACAATGGTTTTGTCATTAATGTGTGTATTATGCAACAGCGAGCAACAGTGCTTCCCCACGCATTTGCACCGACTTAGTTTCGATGTTGATGTCGCAGAATATTTATTGATATATCAAGAATTTAAATCGCTCTATACACTGAGATCTATCAGTATGCAAGATTACTTTGCATGTCTTTTATAACGGGTTTTAAGGGTGGAAAATAGTAGAACTTTAACAACAACAACAACAAAAACCTCAAGAAATGTAATATATATGCAAATATTCTATGTTATTTTTGTTTTGTTCTTCAGTCAAAACAAAACTGAAAAGAGGAACATGTGAGGAACAAAGAAATTTCCAAAGTCCAGCTCAGAAAATGACCTTGACTTTCCATGACATTGTTATTTCATGTTGGCCAACAGTCTTTTGTCACCGCTTGTTCTAAAAAACACACGTGCATTTTTCTGCAAACAGCACCCATATCAGGACGTTTACTATCCATCCTTGATTTTATGATTTGCCCCTAGGTGATAAATAAAGTTATTTGAATTTGATTTGAATTGATTCATCACGCTCTACCTTTTGTGACAAGTAGATGTCGACCTCCCACTGACCTTTGTTTTCACTTCAGTGTTTCCAGAGACACATGGAGGAAATTAGGTCATTGCAGCTAAAGATACGAAGCTGTTTCACTGCAGCGTGTTGATGAGTCAAACATCAGTCACTCTTTGTCTTGTTGTACAAACTGTTGTGGAACCAAAGTGTGAAATTTCTGGAAAACGTCAGACGTACAGCAGGAGCATAACCGAGGTGTAAGGGATTTAAGCTGCAACCAGGCTTCCTGATATTTAGTCAAGATAGTAAATAATATATTAATATTTGCCAAAATGTCAGATTTTTATGATTCGTTCTGTGGCTGCAGGATTAATTTGAGAAATAGTGAGATTATGAGTATTCATCAGGAGTATTCACTGATTGTTAGGGACGGCGCTAGCGATCCAGTGTTTGCATCAAAGTGACACTTAAAATAACCTTCACCTGAATTCAGAGCGTCTCCTGGAGGCAAAATGTAAACGAAATTGTACCCAAAACGCATCACCGGCTGAACATCCGCTCATCGATATTGATTTTCCAGCTCACGAGTGACGTGATTGGTTCTAGTGTAAGATTTACTCGATTAAACTAAAACTGTGGTACCAGTGAAGAAGTGAGTCTGGATGCTGCAGATATGGAAGTACGTCATCCTCACATCAAAAGTTATACAAAAAATGCAGCATTTGTTTACTCCACTGTCCTAAAAATGGGCTCGGTAGACTTCATTTGAATGCGTTGTGTTTAACCTTTTAGATACTTATAGTTTTATCTTTATACACCACATTAAACATGTTTGCCATGCCCAGGTTTGGGATCTGTTTTTTTAGCACAACATCACCTATGTGCCTATGTGATGTGTTATTTTTTCACCAACTATTTTAACATTTTGGACTCAAAAACACACAAAATTCAAAATCCGATTTGAAGAATCGTATTATTTATTTCAATAAAAACCATAAACATGCTTGACGAAGCATTTTGGAAGTTGAAAATGTAACTATAGGTTTCAGATGTGAATTTGAAAAGCTAGCTTTGATATAAAATGCACTAAATACAAATATATAGAAAGCAGGTGTGGCTTTCTTTCTGTTTTTGTCTGTGCCACTCCTGACAATAGTGTCTTTCACTTTCGTTTTGTTCGTCACAAAAAATGACTGAGATGTTGAAAGAAACGTCTGCAGCGCGTATTTCATATGCTTATATTTTACACATTTTTGTCACGCATGTCCATCACATCATATCTACGGTTTTACGTCGTCTATCGACATGAAACAAAAACTGGGAGAGAGTTTAAAGTCTGCACTTTTCAAGAGAAGTTGACACCATCGGCGTACATACGATAGTTTTCTGTTGTGACGTCTCCAACATGTCATATGATTGTATCACGCCAACAGGACAGCGGACCTCTAAGGGTTGTCAGTAAAAAATTTACAGATTTGTTTTAAATTTCGTTTTTGTTGTTTATGTGAACATTTCAGTGGCTTGCCAAACTTTCTAATTTTCAAATAAATACCAAGAAGCAGAGCAGAGGATCGTGACTAAAGGGAAAAGTCGGATCCTTCTGCATGTACGATGCTGTCCGTTTATTATCACACCCTCAGTCCAGGATGGAATTCAGACTACATCCGGGATGTTCCAATAAGCGGGCTTCAGTAAATAAACGGGGGTTTATGGGAAAAGCCAAAATGGGAATGTTTTCATAAGATCAAAGGGACAGTTTCTTTAAAGATCAAGACACTGTTGATTCAAACGGAGCTTTACGGTTTTGCTTCAGTGAAAGTCCACCGTTGTCGGTAGGAAAAGCCGCCCCGTCAATAAAAGTTATTTCCTTTTAATCAAATCATGCACAGAGGATAACTCATAAACAGAGGATTAACTTGTCCTGATTAACTAGCTGAGCAGTTCATGCGGCTCTCTTTGATGTGATTAGTGTCACGGCGTGTGAATAACTCAATGATCAGATCTCAGGTGAGCAGGTCATTGACAAACAAACACGTTGCCTTCCACGGCTGACCGGGCTGTGATGATCTGCCACGCATGACCGACAATTGGCCCGTGAGCCGCCACGATCAGCCGGTCGTGACTTTAAACAGGCAAAAGCTACTCCTGGAATCAATTTAGGGGATGTTGTTATGACAAAAACCGGGATCATGACAATAAACAGGCTGGTTTACTGGAGGTTATATAGGGAATGATTCAGGACTTTGTTGTTTTATGATTATAAACGGGATGTTGGATAAAGCGGTGTGACATTACGTGGGCAGCACTGTATCGAGGTCCAGTTAAAGATGAATACTACAATCACAAGGTGTTCTACAGCAAATTTTGGGGAAAAAAAGTCTTTGATGAAAGACTGCATTTTGGTGACATCTTGTTGAGTTCAGTGTGAATTTTCTGGGTTTAGTTTAAAGAAGTGAAAGTAAAAGAAGGGAAGCAGCAGGTGTGGCGGCTCTGCAGCTCATCTCATGAGTCGACGTGGTCGAGACATTTTCTCTCATGTCACCTTTTCAATCTTCCCAGCAGGCCGATGGAGCCTCCGTCGAAGAAGGAAGTTGTTCCAGTCATGAGGCGACCAGACGAGTGGAAGGACCCGTGGCGCCGGTCCAAATCCCCCCGGAGACGCCCCGGCCTGGGATCCCCGCCGCGAGGCCGCCGGCGACATCGACCATCGGGCTCCTCGGTGTCTTTGTCCAACTCCTCCAGGTAGGAGCTCCTCCTCCTTAACGTCAGGAGAGAGGTTTTCATGACTTTCTGCAGGACAACGAACAGAACTTGACCTGTTGGACAACTTTTGATAAATTAGACAACTTCCAAAGAACGTTGGCGGTTTAACATCTTAAAATCAGCAGTTACGTGAATTAATACATGAATAAAATATAACAGACGAGCGTTTCTGGTGCAGACTAGCGAGGGTTGCATAGTTTAATAGTTTGTTCAACTAATCGTGCACAGGTTTGACTGTTTATCTAATGATTTGTGGTCTCATGACCCAGAATCACGCCGTAGAGGGTCCGAAAGTCTGTGAAGCAAAGGAAAGCTGCAGCCTTCCTGCTTCTAACACACATCGTAAAAACCCAGATAAAGTTCCACTTGTTTTAAATGAAAGCTCAACCAGTTATCGACGATGAGATTTGGCTTTTTAAAGATTATTGGTATGACTGAATACGTTAAACGTGTTCCTTTGGCTCTGATTCAGTCGCCTCTCTGTCTCTCGGTGGTTTTGTCAAATATTCAATATCTGATCGGCTGCTGCATGCCACCAGTAGCGGTTCATTACAACTGTTGTTTGCACAGAGAACAGAGCAGCTCTACGGCTGAAGGTTTAATGAACATTCTTCACCAGGCATTCATAGTTTCCCTGTGAAACAAAAATAGCCCAGTAGATTATTTGCAGGTGTTAACAAATGGTGCAGCTGGAACATATTTTGCTGACGGTGCTGAGCTGCAGCTATTTCTCAGAGGCTTGCTGTACGTCGTTGCCTGCGGCTAACGCTATCCGGAGCGCTGTCACATCTCTCTAAAGTCAGATTCACTTATAAAACTCTGCTCTACCTGACAGACACGTCTCTCTAACAGTAAACACTGAACAAGAAGCACAGCCATCTTCACAAACACAACACATTCACAGTCTCTTAGGGGCTATGCTAACGGCTAGCAGCTACATTAGGAGGCAGCCACAGATAATCCCGAAACAGTTTCTGGAAATCTATGATTATTAGTGCTTTAAGATAAGATAAGAACATGAAAGACAGGTTCCTGCCATAACATGCTGTTGATACGCTGATTGTATTTCCTATCCACACACCTGTTATCGGCCTTTTCCGTTACCTATGACCAATATGGACTCTGACAATGCCATGTCACACATCTTTTCATGTGCAAAAAAACCCGAAACAAAGGTGAAAATGTGGCAAAACACCCACGTTATATTTATTAATCAAATTCAGTTTGATGTCTGGGAACCTCGGTCCAGAGCCAAACCACACCAGAGGTAGTGCAAAGTTCTAAGTCGGTAAAATGTGCCCGAGGCAGCGCAGGTGGATACCAGGCGCACATCACGTCACAGACAGAGCAGTCAGCCTAAAATGCAATGAGGAAGTAGATAAACATCGATGAATTACTCCATAGCTGACCTACTAAAGGCTACCTGTGGAGTTTTTGACCTTATGTAAGGATGAGTTTCTGTTTTGTTTATGTTGTGGACGCGCAGCTGCAAAGTGTTGACGAGAATAAAAAGCATCTAAATGTTCAGCAGTGTTAAAAACTGCCAGCCAGTAAAGATGGATGCGAATAATGCTGGATTTAAAACACCTAAACATGTTTTATGTGGGATAAAAATGTGTTGAACACGTCAGTAAAATCAGAATCAGCTTTAATGGCCAAGTACGTACACAACATACAAGGAGTTTGGTTTCGGCTGTTGGTGTCGCCCTGGGAATTTGCAGGAAAATAGAAATAGAAAAATAAATTTTAAAAATAAAGTTAAGTAACTATAGAAAGAAAAGAATAAAAAAAATTAAATACAATAAATAATAATAATAAAAATAGAACAGGATAATAAGACAAATATATACAAGAATGTCCACATCTGAGCAGAAAATTATCCATGTACATTGTGCAAATGGTCGTGCAAGAACAATAATGGCTCAGCTGTTCAGTAAAGTTATGGCAGTGAGATAAAAACTGTGTTTGTGTTAAATGCTCGAGGATGAATTTAGGTGACCGACCCTGATTATAGACGTAACTCCACGCTGCCTGTTTTATGTAATCATCACCACCGCTTGTGACGGAGATTGATTTGAGTGAAGTAAATACCACAGCTGACATCTATTTTTGTATATTCTGAAAAGTTGAAGACACAAATTCAGCAGCCCGACGGTGCAGCTATTAGTGTCTGTTGAACATGACTCAGTCGCATCACGTGTGCTTGGATAAACATGATTTTTCTCATGGATAGAAATAGCAACGCGATAAATGAGAACAATAAATCAATATCTACTTAAGCTGTCATTTATCAGATGTTTTCTTTTTATCTAAATTTGGCCTTCGTGATATTTGTGCAGCAGATGTTTTAACAGCGTTCTGGTGCAAGAAGAAAGAAAGAAAGCCCCGTCCTGGCTGCCGAGAATGTTTAAACAAATGACAACGAAAAGGTGTTGAGATCTCAGTCCAGAGATAAACAGTCCAACAGCAGTACAGTTAAATATATGCTGATTTTAATTGTGCTGTTTGTTGTTGTTGCAACCAGCTGCGTCCGGATCCATCCGTAGAAAGTCAACCCGACCTCCTCAGAATCAGCTGCATTTTGTCATCTACAGTAACTTTAGTTTATTTACATAAGCCATGCAAAATCTGACCTTCACACCAAAAACATTTTTAGTCTAGTGCATTGAAATGGGTGTTTTTGAACCCTCATAACTTCATGACTAAATAAATTTGATTTTACAGTTAAATAACAAGAACAAGAAAACAACAAGAAAAGTCTCTTCTTTTACAAATCTTGTCGAATAATGTTGGTTTTACATACTAGCTGTCTTTTTGTATGTTTGTGATCGCACTCTGCTCTTGACATTTCACCGTTTTGAGCAGGAATGAGGAACTTCAAACTGAATTCATCTTTTTAAACCCAAATCTGAGCCAATCGAGCATCACATTCAACCACTGAAGCTCATTTTTCTGTTCAGGAATGCAAGTAAATAATTAGAATTTTACATCTTAATCAAGAAACAAGAATGCGTTTTACTGTTTTTTGGGGGTTTTTTTGTAAAACTTTGAATTTGAAGCTTCGTGGATAACAATAATTATTATATTTTAGCATTAAAAATCAGATTTTGGTTGAAGAGCGTCTACATAGTGGTGTATTACCAGAAACATAAAAGGTGATTTTGGTGAAGCTGTTCATTCAGGGCCGCTGTGGTATAAACCTCACACTGGGTGGTGGTCTAATAACTTAGCCAAGCATGTGATAAATGTGCAAACATCTTCCTCCGGAGCAGACGAACTGTTTGTAGTAGTTCTGTAAACAGATCCGATGCCGCAAAGTAGTTTTCCGGGCCGACTGATGTCACTGGAGGAAAGTCGAGTACATGTCCAGACACGTAAACAACCCCCCACCTCGCTTGGGTTTACGTTCACGTCGGAAGTTGGGAACCGACAAAATTGCTCCACTGTTTGACGACTGTTTGGTCTACATCTGTGTGTGTGTTGCAGGTCTTCGTCTCGTTCGTCATCCTACACGGGTTCTGGTTCGTCCCGTTCTCGCAGCCGCTCCTCCTCGTTCAGCTCGTACTCCAGCCACTCCTCCCAGAGAAGCTCCTTCAGCGGCAGCCGCTCCAGGTAAACTCCTCACCTGTCGGTGGCGCCGCCTGGTAAACGTGCATCGGCGCTAAATAAACCCAGGCCTACGTTTGTCTCCCTGCATCCAGTCGACAGTTTTCTTCCACAGAGCTTCATGAAATGTGAAAAGCAGGGATGCACATTAATTAATTTATTAAAAACAAAACATGGGTTTAGGAAGCGATTTGGCGGAAAGACAGGATGCACGGATGGAAAAACAACAACAGGAAGGCCAGAAAATAAAAGCATTACGATAAATTATGCAACCGTGAAACCATTTTTATGACCCATATTTGGCCGATCAATAATCAATAAATGATTAACGTAAAAGAAATACAAGGCATGTTTTTCCACTTGCTGATGACGCCTCTGTTTGAATCTCTTGACCTTTCCCATAAAATCAGCTGATTGTGGAGCAGCTGAGTGCTGACTAAAAGTTTTATTCGTTTTTTTCTGCCATAAAGCAAAGGCAGCTCGTTTTGTGCAGCACGTTTCACACACAGAGACGATTCAAAGTGCTTCAAGAGGGAAAAGCTGCATAAAAGCATTCAAGAATTCACAATAAGCACAAAAACATAAAGCAGTCCTAAGCTTAGTTTAATACGGCAGCATTATTAAACCGTTTTATGTATGTTTGCATGATGTGATCTAACCTTAATGTAAACGCCATAAGAGCGCTTTCATGACTCTCTCGCTGTCGGGTCTCTAGGTCCCGATCGTTCTCCACGTCTCCTTCACCGAGTCCGGCAGCACCGAGGAACGCTAAGAACAAACCGGACCTTCATCCTGCGTTAAACAAAGGGTACATCTTCTTCTTTAATACACGGTTATATTATCCGCTTCCACCCGTCCTCTCATTTATTGGCTGTCGTAAGTAATCTGACTCATAAATTGCCATAAACGGACATTTTCTAATGTGTTCCTCCAGCCTCATAAAGCGTATCCTGTTTGCTGATGACACTTATTGAGCATCAGGGTTTTTCCTGCTCAGGATGGGGTTTAGATTGATGTGCATACACTTAATGAGTCTTTATTGGATTGTTTGACAGAACTGGTGCATTTTCCTGTTTTTTTTTTTTTTGACCATCTGATGAACAGAAATGCTCAAAAAAATGAAACCTCAGTTTATCAAGACTGGTTAAAGTTAGCATCATTCTGGCGCTGGCTTCTTCTTGGGTCCCGAAAATTCCTCTATGAAGGAAGAACCCTGATAGTTAGCTAAATCATTGCATGCACTGTGCCGACACGCCTATTTTAAGCACATGCCTGTCATCCATCACCGTCTGCATGCTTGAAAAAGTTGCCTTTTCCTTCCCAAAGCATGCCGCTGAAGCCGGGTGCCATGCCCCCTCCTCGCAGGGACAAACCTCCCATGAAGAAGGCTCCCAGCCCCCCTCCACCCGGCGGACCACAGGGCCGGCCTCCCAAGCCTCTGCTGGAGGGAGGAAAGCCTCCGCCGAACCCCCGGGAGGCCGGAGGTCCGGGCGGCGGACCGGGACCAGGCGGAGCGGGGCGACCGCTGCCGCCACGGGAACCTGGGAAACCTCCGAACCCGAGAGAAGGCAGGCGGAAAGAGCGACAGCAGCATCCTCCCCGCAGGTAAGCGTCTCGAGATAATACGGAGCCGGGTGCATGACTCCCAGTCTGGGGCGTAACAGTAAACTATAAAGCCTCGTGTCACGGTCGACAAAACACTCGGTGTCTGAAGTAATCCAAAATAAAATGAGAGGAAAGCTTCGAGCTGGCTGCGGTTGCTTCAGTACAATGTGCAATCGGCAGAAGCAGTCGTCGTTGTCAGAGTCCTGATGAGGTCATGAATGCTGTTGAGCAGAATCTGGAGACTTGTTTTGGTGATGGGTTAGTGAAGCGTGAACACTGGTGAACCCAAGTGAGTGGAAGTCCAAGGAAACTATGTCAAAAAGTCAAGCAAGAACAGTCTTCCTCCTTTCTGGTGAGGTACCGTCTGACTTCTGTTCCCCAAACAAAGAGATGATGAGGTCATTTTTAAAAAGTGTTTTTTTTTTTTTTTAGATTTAACCTTTTTCCATTCAGACTGACGTCTCTTTTGCAAGGGAGCCCTGGCCAAGAGGGCAGCAACACGGGTTACAACAATACAACACAAAAAATAAAATAAATAATATGTAATCACTACAAGGCGTAAATACATGAAATACAGACGGTACATGACAACTCATTTAAAGCAGCTACAGACTTGTGTTTTTACAACAAACATTTAAAATCTCCCAAAGAAACAAGGTCGGACAATTTGAGCATTTTCTGGAGCAGATTCCAGGACCAAGGGGCATTGTGACCAAACGCAGTGAAGGCACGAGGGACCGAGAACAATGAAAAGTCCTGAGAGTGGAGGCTGTAGCCACTAGTAAATGTCAGACCCGACCCTTCATATAGAAGACAGTGATGGGTGAGAGCTTTGGCGTTCAGAGTGAAACACAAGGCACCACGATAGACAGTGTCTAACGCCTTAAGGGATGCAGCAGGGGCTTGCATGCTGCTGAGGAGAATCTGAAGGCGAAGCTTGAACGTCAGGGGACCAGTCGCAGTAAAGTTACAGGAGACTAGGTTGAGAACTTTTTAAAGTACCGCCCTACTTCTGTTTCCCAAACTGAATTCACCATTTTGAGAGTGATGATGAGGCCCTGCGTGCTGCTGAGGAGAATCTGGAGGAGGTCAAGATGTGACCTTCGTCCACTTAAGGATAGTAGAGCAGGAACAAAGGTTGTGCAATAAAGTTCAAGGAGACGAGGCTGATGAGGTTGAGAACTTTTAAATTAGCGTCTGACGTTTGTTTCCCAAACTGAAATCACCATTTTTAGATTGATGATGAGTCACGCGTGCTGTTGAGGAGGAGCTGGGGGTCAAGATGTGACCTCCTGAAGGGACAGTGAAGCTTGAACATCTGTAGACCAAGTGCACTGAAGATAAAGAGACGATGTTGACAAAGGAGCTGTGTGATGTTTGCTGCTGAAGCAGAGAGCTGATACGGTGCATCTGACATCTTCTGCCAAGCGGTCGTATCCATAGATATGTAGAATAAAGGCTAGATGTCTCGTCCGCGCTGCCACCCAATGGAATCGCACGGCCACACTGGCGGCCATCTTGGTACAGTGCACTCGCTCACCCATAGCATTGTGTTGTAGTGGTGCATGGACTTTTTAATCAACCATAACTTGCTCAGTTTTCTACCGATTTTCAAACGGTTCGGTTTGTTATAACCGTCAGAGGTGTAGTTAGAACGCTGCACTGATGGATAATTATGTTACACTCTCAGGGCCAGCAACAATTAGTATTTTAATTGTTTTGTGTTTTAGTCATTTGAATTTTAGCCACGTTAATGACGTTTGTAAGAAACCAAACCGTTTGTAAGTCCGTCAAGATGTCAGCGAGATACGAGTATTTACGTTTGAGCAGATCGCTGACCTTCCTCCACGTTCCTCCCGTATCAAGATGGCCGCCGGTGATCCCCTTAAGACATCTAGCCTTTATTCTATGTATCTGTGGTCGTATCAGACAGGACGCCTGCTGGATCAGATGACATCGCAAAAGGAATTCGATTTATGATAGGAATCAGGAAAATCAATCTGCTTCCTTCCCGTTCCTCTGATCTCACAGAGAAAATATGTCCCACTTTCATGAATTAAGCTCAAGGAAATGAATCAGATGAACACAACTGTTTAACGAAAACCGAGGCTGGTGATTTTCCTTCGATGCCTCTTTTCCTGTACACAGAATTAAACAAAAAAAAAGCACCCTGCAGTGTGGTGTCAGTCGGTTTACTGGAGCATCCTTGCAGCAAACCTGTCACAGATGATTTGTGGTGTTTATTTAATTGGTTCACGTAACTCTTAATTAACGAGCGTGGTTATTACTTCTTCCAATGTGAGAACAGCGTGGGCCTTTTGGCGAACTGTCTGGGTGCTGTGTGTGGTTTCAGGCGTGTGGATGTGGGCGGAGAACGTTGGCCCGCCTGCACACTTGTTTACCAGCCGTGCATTTGACTACGTTGGCATCATGTTATTTCCTAACACCTCTGCTTTTGCATACTGCGCGAGGCGGACAGCGATCCTGCAGTCGTGTTCCTCGGCGGTGCGCTGTAGGGGCAGACCGGAGAGGCTTCACGTAGGCGAGGCAGTGGGCGGATGGCTCCAGGACAAAACTTCACTTCTGTTGGCTCGAGTGTTGTGTTTAACGGCCACATCAGCCACACTGGAAAAAGCGACGGTTCTTTGTAGCTGTCTTTTTTGTTAAATTACAATTAATATGGAGTAGAAACCAAAGGAATAAACAGCATTAGTTTATAGTGAACATAAATAAAACAGGCAAAACTGTGTGTGACAAAAAACATCTGTAATTAAATCCGCTTAAAAAAAAAAAAAAACATTTTAAATCAGACTTTTAAAAGATTATATTAAGGATTGAAAATAAAATGGAATTATTTTTTTTAACTGTTTGTATTGCTGCTAAATTTATAGAGACACGTATTTATTTCTTTACACAGCCGAACCTGTAAATAACATCCACTTCAAACATCGGTTCTTACAAATAATAATTCTTTTCTTGTACAATGTGTGACCGTGACGTTACACATGTCTGTCAGGAATTTAATCCGCTGAAAAATATAATTATTTTACAGATATGTGCTGCTATTTGAAAGAAAAGGATTTATGTTAAGGATTGAAAATTGGTAAATAGTTGATTATTTTTAAAAACAAAACTATTGAACAGATTGTTGTTGTTGTTTTGTTAAATGAATGAATTATTACATATAAATTAATTAACAATCAAAAATCTGTACTTTTACAAACGGCGACCCTTTTTTGTACAAAGCGTGACCATAAAATGACAGTTTAATTGTATTTAAATCAGCTGAGAATATTTTTATTTTACAGATACTTTCCATTATCTGAAGGAAACTTGATGTGTATTTAAGGTTGAAACACTTTAATGTTTTAACTGTTATTCTTAGATTTTTTTTCCTGTTTTGTTAAATTACAGATAATATCTAGTAAAACAGGATTCATGTACATGTTAGCTTTAAAAAAAAAAATTTTTAATTATAAAATTGACCTTAAATTTACGCTATTTCTACTATTAAAAAACTATTTTAAAAAAGCCAAAAATATATATATTTTACAGGAATATTCTGTTCTTCGAAATATATATATATATATATTTTTATATATTAAAGACTGAAAAAGTCATAAACCATTTTTTGTATATTTCAAGTACAGATAATATCTTGTAAATTCACAGAAAAGACGTATTAGAAATTGTCAGTATTATGTAGTAAAATCACAGAAATGTAAAAGTAGTCATGAACATGTTAAATGTAAAAATTAAACCTGTAAAAAAATCTGTTTATTTTTTACAAACGATTTTTCTCTTTTCTAACGTTTGGCCATAAAATGACACTCTTTACATGTTATAAAATTATATTACAGATTTTTGCCCTGATATAAAAGACGCCGCGTTTTGTACAAACACAAATAACGTCTAATAAAATCTTAATTAAAAGTTTTCTTAACTTTCCAATAGACTTTTATTGTTTTGTTTTGTTTTGTTTTCTATGTCTGTTTATTTTGTTTGGTAACCTTGGTGCTAGATTTTCACTTTTTATTTTGTTTGTTTGTTTCATTTCCATTTCTTTTGCAGTGCAGAGAGGAGGGAGAGTGGAAGGTTGTGGAGGAACAGTGAGAACGTTTCAGTCGTGTGTAGGTGTTTGTGTGGGCAGAGTGGATTCTACGTGAGCTTTCCAGGAAAACCAGTTCCTGCACCGGTTTCTTCTCCTTTTTATTTAACAGCTCCGCACCAATGAGCAGATACGATTTGATTTAGAGAGGAGCACTTGTTGTCTCCCCAAAGGCAGATGAATGGACCCTGTGAAGGCCTTTAAACCCTAAAGGAGCTTGACTTTAACCTGGTTTATTCCCATTATTGTGGGCAGATTAGATAGATCAAGTTCATCCTGATGTCCAGGTTTCATTAGATGCAGCTACTGAGTGAAAACAGCATCAGAGGACGTCATCAGATTTGAGCTTTAGTTGACTGAGGCAGGAATCTGAAAACAGGAGCTGAGGGCTTGACTACGAAGCAAGTTTGACATATCCAGGCTTTCTCTGTGTAAGTCGGCTCGACAAAAACCAGAACCAAAAGCGTCACGTAACTCTTCTTTGCACTAAATGAACCGATCGTGTGCAGCTGCTTCAGTCAACATGTTGTTTTAATGGAGAACAATGAGGAATATAAAAAAACTATGACGACAAAAAGCGTCGCTACTGCAAATGATGCGAGACAGGAATGCTGGTAGAAAACTGTTAAATGTGTTCATATCTAATATTTTACTGATGCAGCTGCTTATATCCAACTGACAGCTGCACGATAAAACAGTTTAAATTTATTTTCTTTAAACATGATCTTGTATTGAAGGTCATTTCGGTTTGACAGTCCCATAATGCAGGAAATCACTTTAGTTTTTGGCCAAATCAGAGCAAAAATAATGTTATTGATTGAATAGCAGAGTGAACGGACTTGACAGCAAATCAGAGCCAAAAATAAAAACATATTTAGCTTTATTCATATTTACATGATACTGTAACTACACGGCTGCATTCAGTGATATTAGTGACGCACAGCTCAGCATGTTTGCAGATAAAACACATTCCCTCAGCTGAGAATCTGTATCGCTCATAATTAATAGTCAGGAAGCGATCTGGTTAAAGGGAGACGCTCTTTCAGCCGATTTAAATCTGAAATTCTGAACATAACCTGGACCAGTTTAACTCCACAGCATCAGTTACCATGGAGACCTAGCTACGCAGCATCAGTTACCATGGAGATCTAGCTACGCAGCATCAGTTACCATGGAGATCTAGCTCCACAGCATCAGTTACCATGGAGCTCTAGCTCCACAGCATCAGTTACCATGGAGATCTAGCTCCACAGAATCGGTTACCATGGAGATCTAGCTCCACAGCGTCAGTTACCATGGAGATCTAGCTCCATAGCACTGGTTACCATGGAGATCTAGCTCCACAGCATCAGTTACCATTGAGATCTAGCTCCATGGCACTGGTTGCCATGGATATCTAGCTCCACAGAATCAGTTACCATGGAGATCTAGCTCCACAGCATCAGTTACCACGGAGATCTAGCTCCGCAGCATCAGTTACCATGGAGATCTAGCAGGTTAACAGAGAGCCACCTTCATGGTACTGAAAACTGACTTTAAGCTCAACATATCTCACTAACCCACTAGTCTGGCTTGGTAGTTCAGCCCTCTGGAGTTTAGTTTGTTGCTTCCAGCTGTTCATAGGAGTCTTTCCTCTGTTTGTTAATTATTGTAGCTGCAGGGTTCATACAAGCATCACCAAAGAGACACTTCACCTTTACCTACAACACAATGCAGCAGTAGCTCAGTTAATTACTCACAATGATAAATTATCCCCGACATAAACACAGGATCAGTCAGGATCTTTGAGTAAATAAAAGTGCAATACACATATTCTTCGTTTTTTTTAGGCTGCAGGTAAATTATTTACAGTGAAGTTTTTTCTATTTGGATGATTTGTGTGTTTCATAGCAGGACATCTGCAGCAGTGACGACATTATGGATGACCCCTGTAATAGTTCACCCAAAATACGACAACATAATTAAATGAAACCCACAAATACGAGCCCCTGTACATCGTTATGTAATGAGCTTTGAGGTGTAATCATTATATTATATTACATTAATCAATACTTTATTTCCCTTCTGGGATGAATAAAGTATTTTTCATTATATATCAGGTGTATGGTATCATATATTACGCTGTAAAAAAATAAATAACATTTTTCATTCAAAATAGGAAATCAAAAATGATTAACAGTCATCGATGTCAGCATTTCATCATCATAAATTTTCCATCTCTGTATATCTAGCTCCCATGATGATGATGCAATTTGCAAAATGACCAATCTAATTTCTGTTTCCGTTCAGTCTCACTGACAACAAACGAAGCGATTAGCGTAAAGCTGCAGGGATTAATCTGGTCGAAACTTATTCATTCATTCATGGAAAATGTGGCCGGTTGAAATAAAACTGGAATGCTCCTTTAATAGACGAGCTTGCGCAATCATTTACTGCCTTGTTTTCTTCTTAAAAATGTGCTGATGCATCCCACAGCTGCTGAACATGAAGTTGGCTGGTGCCCGAGTTTTGATCGCACGAAATATAGAAAGTACCGGCCGTGTTTCATCCCGTTGTGTGTCTGTGTGTTTCAGGCGAACGGTGAGTGGGAGTGTCAGTGGAAGTGGCAGCAGTTATACTGGTTCGAGCTCCAGATCCAGATCCTCATCCAACTCCTTGTCACGCTCTCGCTCTGGATCAAGAAAATCCAGGTACCCGCCCACACCCTCACCGGAGCTGCCAAAGAAAAATGCTTTCAAAGAGATGTTGTGGTGACCGCAACGCCTCAATTTATGCTCATGTTTGTTTATGTAAGGCACAGCAAGTAGGTGCAGTTTATCACTGTTTCTGCATGTGCAGTTATGGGATTAAGCGTCTTTCCCAGACTACCAGAGGTGCTCCTTCTGTAAAAATGTAGTGATTTCACATCTGTATGACACCAAAGATGTACGTTTGTCTTTAGTTTTCAGAGAAGGCCCGTACATATTCTGCACTCCTCAGTAAACTGAAGAGAGCTGGATTGTCAGCCTTCTTGGAACGCGTACTTGTGGAAATATCTAAATAAACAGTTCCTATAAATAGAATTAACACTCATTGACAGTTTCTCCTCATATATTGCTTCTCAAATCTTGAATCAGGGTCAATTTATTCTGGAGTTTACCAAAAAAACTTTTTATGGTAAAAGTAAAAACTTTTTATGTCAAAGTAAAAACAGAATAATGTCAATTAATTGAAAATATAAAATTCCAGTTAGTAAGCGCTCACGTTAAGTATTCAAAACTGAGTGACTGATCAAGAAAGAGACAAGTGAGGGAGTCCACTGAGACACCTGTGACTCTTCTGAGGGAGTTACAAGCTGTTATTCATCACCGTGCTTCACATCATGATGCTGCCGCCGCCGTGCTTCACATCATGATGCTGCCACCACCATGTTTCACAGTAGGGGTGGTGTGTGTGTGATGATGTGCAGTGTGATGGCCAAAAAAGCTAAATTAGTTCACCTACTTCAACACAGGTGCCACCAATTTGTGTAATAATTAGTGAGATAAAGATCATCTGAGTGCAGTTAATGAGTCTTTAGTGATTGTAGTGTATAGACTTCTACTCCTGGATAGAACTACACCATGAAGAGACAAAAACACTCCGAGCAGCTCTGTGGAAAAGGAGGCCACCAAAACACCGACGACTCCTCTGAAGTAGTTACTAGTGAGAAGTAATGGTGACAATTTCAGGCTTTTATCTGTTTTAGTTCCTGAGATGTTGTCGTTCAAACAGCCTTTAAATGTAGAGAGTGTGTGAGAAAACCTTCTGAAAGTGGGTCAACAGGCAATTTATTGAAATGTTTATTTCAGAGTGTTTTATATATCAAATCTCTCAAATATCTTTCTAAAATGTTAAAGTGAAAAACAATAGAATGACTCTTCATGTAAAGTCACTGTTTCAGTCTGTAGCCTGATGGTGTAACAGCTCATCCTGACTGTGCAGCCTAACATGGATGAATTCTGTTTTCCTCTCTTTCTTTCATGCGCTGTCTCCATTTGGAAACCCCTGAAGGAAATCTAGGTAGGATCCTCATGATTCAGGGTTTGTCTTTGAGTGCATGTGTTGCGTGACTCGTTCATGATGTGACCCGTCGGGTCTCTCTGCAGGTCTCTGAGCGTCAGCAGCGTGTCGTCGGTTTCGTCTGCGTCATCCAGCAGCAGCTCCGTGCGAAGCGCCGACTCTGACGACATGTACGCCGACCTGGCGAGCCCGGTGTCGTCGGCCAGCTCCCGCTCGCCGACGCCGAACCATCCCCGCAAGGAACGGGGGCCGCCACGAGACCGGCCTCCCCACGGGAGAGACAAGAACAGGGGTGAGCGAAGGCAGCAGACATCCAGGACACAACAGGTCGACACACAAATCACAATAATAACTTCTCAAACTGAAAGCCACTGAGAGCAAACATAGTTCCAATTCCACACTTCACGGTTTACGAAGTGTGTCAGAAAAGCTCCTGGACTGGTGTCACAAAAGATATATTTCAAACCCAAACTACCAGTTTTCCTCTGAAGTAATCCTCCTGGAGTCTAACACACTTCCCAGCCTTCTCTGCCTTCACGCCGCCATAGAAGGATCCTCCTCAGCTCCGTCGTCACAGCCATCTTCATGTCTCCACATCTTCTAAACCGGTCTCCTTGATGACCCCCTTGAGCTTGAGGAAGAGGAAACAATCCCAAGGAGCCAGGTGGGGTGAGCAGGGAGGTTGCTCCAGCACGGAGATGTTCTTCTCAGCCAGGAGCTGTGGGATGCTCAGGGCGTTGTGAGAAGGTTGTCATGGTGAAGCAGCCACGAACGCTGCAGGATCTCTTTGCAGACGAGCTGGTTGATCGTCTGAAGGGGGAAACTCCTAGTTTGTGGTTTGGGGTTGAAACATATCTTTTGTGACACGCCTCGTAAAACCACCTATTTAAGGTTTTTCTCACTTTCAGTATGAGGAACACTAATTTTCAACAATTTCCTCATAGTCACACTTAAGGTGCGCTTGTTTGACGGCAGTCAGAAAACACACGTGTAACTCCATTTCATAAACTCCAAGCAGTTTGTGGACACTTTTTTTTTTTTTTGCTCCTGTCACATTTTTCCTCACTGTTGGTTCATTTTTCACTCAATATAAAATCCTGAACCTCTGTGGAAACAGAACAACCATAAAGAACGCCATAAATCATTAAAAAGCACAAAATAATGTAAGTTGAAGTGAAAAAAATAACACTGGGATGAACGGTGACTCCACATACAAGAGATGTTTAACATTTGTTGCACCAAACTACACCTACAAACTGTTTTCCCTCCACTCTGCACTCTAAGACAGATGTTCCTCCATCAGCTGGATGTATCGTCCAACAACCTGCTCCTCTGTTCACTGTTTCTGAGTCATGCTGCATTTATTTATTGATCCAGTAGGTTTTAGTTTCCTCTCAGTCTCTCTCTGTGGAAACACTTCCTGCAGTTCAACCAAATAGTCACAGAGTTTTAGTTTTTACCAGAATCTTGTTCAAATGCTGTATTTTCAGTAGATTTTTGGATACGACGTGTAGAATAAGAGGATTTTAGTGAAATATCACAATGTTAAGCTTCGATTCTGTTACATTCACCGATAGAACCGTACGTCAGACGTGACGCATTCAAGGACTGTTTAGAATTTAATTTAATACCTGATTACTTTCTCTATTTTTACAGCTTCCTGCTTAGAAATTCTGGGATATTTAATCCACAGTTATGGCTACAACGATTAATTATTTTTGAATAAGATACGTAGAATAAATAATTTTAAAAAAACAAATATGTGTAATTTATAATCAGTAACCAGGTGTTTACTTTATGAATTCTTAAAATAGGTAACGGTGGCGTTATCAGCAAATAGAGAAAAAAAATCCCCTGCATTTTATTTATTTTAATGATTAATCGGTGAGTGAGTGGCTAACTATCGGTTATGGAACGTTTAAACGCTGCTGTCGGTCACAGCTCAGTCTGTCGCACCAAAGAGCAGATTTTTTTGTTCTTAATAGAATGTGGCTCAATTATTTTTTGGTTAATTTTTACATTTGACATCTAAAATAAGGAGCTTTTGATGAAATCTCAGTTTTAAGCTTCGTTTTGGAACCTTTTCCTCAACAAACCGTACGCGGCACAAGATTAGTCTGAGGAGAGTTCGAAAATCAGGTGACAAAAGGCGTGTTTTTCAAAAAGATAACACCCCTGTTGGTATAAAACATCTCTGCAGGAAGAGTCAGCAGCTTAGCAGCAATCAAACGACATAAAAGTCGTGTTTTTGTTAGAGGAGGAAAAGCTGAAATGACTGAACTCTATTGCAGAAAATAATATAAGATGCAATTTTACTCTTATTTTTTCAAATTGCAAACAAAATATTGTTTCTCGTCACCGCACTTGTATTAAAAATGCATGTTTTCACATTGATTCAGCAGAGAATGTGTAGATTTAAGATGTAGAAACAAACTGAAGTCATCAGCGTCTAAATTAGTACAAAGTTTCGGTACATTTTATTGATTTTACGCCACGTTCTGTTCTGTTCTGCTCCTCGTCTCAGAGCGACCATCGAAGAAAGATGAACCTTTCAGGGACGACCGGAGGAAGATGGACCCGTCTGGAGCTCCGCCCCGAGGAGGAAACCCGGTGCCCAGATCAGGACCTGGAAACAGGGGCGGCCACCCTGTGCACCCTCCCCCCGGCTCCATGGGCCCCCCTGGGAGCTATGGAGGTTCGGGTTCCCACAAAGACATCAAACTCACCCTCCTCAACAAGGTTAGTATCGATCCGTTCTAAGAAGTATGAACTTGTGCTCTGTTTTAAAGAATTTCTTCGATAAACTTGGAAGGCGACTCTTGAGCGAGGTAGTTAAAATGACAATCTGAAGCCAATATATGAGCAAACTAAAGGCATCCAGATGATATCAGCTGCTCTGTGCTCGCCCGGATGGGATGTTTAAAAGAGGAATAATGATAAAATGTCAGTTTTTGGAACCCTCGTAACGCTGACATTTAGAAATCAGACATTAGCGTTTCCTCATCGTGCATCATTCTGTGAGCTCATATGCAAAACCCGCGCCTCTCCTCCCAGTTTTAACCATAATGCTGATACCATTACTCACCGCATGAAATTGGGGAAAAGCCAAGATGTGTATTCTGTAAATGTATTTATAGTAACAGCTGCAGAGTGTGAAGCAATCTGAGCTAAAATGACATTAAGCTGCAGAGTCATTCTCGATTAGATTAGATTTCGCTTTATTCTTCACCACCAATGGGGAAAGCACACTTGTTGCAGCAGCACAGATACAAGAAAAAAAACCACAAAGTAGTGACAGCAGGACAAGAGAACAAATAAAACTATAAATAGGAACAGCTGAGAAATACAATAGAGCTGTACCATATAATGGAGACTATGATTTAAAATCAAATGTGACACAGTATGGTATTGCACATGAGGTAGATCTGTTGTACACAGCATTGCATGTGAGATAAACTGGATATAATGTTTGATATTATGCAAAGATGCGGAGAGAAGAACTCCAACACGTTATAGCTTCTGACAGCAGCTGGAATGAAGGACCTGCAGTAGCGCTGCTTCGTTTTACTCTCATTTTCTGTCTCAGTCGTCAACAAATATGTCAAGAAACAAAAACTGTAGTTCCAATGTCAGCAGTTGCAAGGGTCTCGTAATTAAAACTGCATCGGTTAATCAATCGGTTGACAACTACTAAATTAAAAGCCCACTCGATTGTTCACTAATAAAACTTTTTTTAAGAAAAAATGTCTAAATTTTCTCGCTGCAGCTTCTAAACTAAGATTACTTTCTGGTTTCTTTCTCCTTTTATGACAGCCAGAAGGTAGTGGATAAATGACTGAGCCGTTATGCTAAGCTAAACGTAGCTTACACCGAGTAACGAGTGGCTCAAATTGCTAAAAACTGCAGATAAATACTCGACATAGTTAACGAAAAGTAGTAGAAATATTGTGGTGAAGTTCTGATAAGCTGTAAATGGTTTCTAAGGTAATGGATATATTGTTAGAGCATTATGCTAAGCTAAACAGAGGTAAAGGTAATGAATAAATGGCTAAAAAGCTTAAAGTCACAGATAACAGTTGCAATAGTTAGCTAAACATAATAGGTAAATGGTGGGGAAGTTATGCTAAGCTAAGCACAGCAATAAGTGACTGATAAAGAGTTGAAATTGTTAGCTACAGATAGTGGAAAAGTAAGTTGTGCTAAACTGAACATAGCTTACACTGAGTAATGACTGGCTCAAATAGCTAAAAGTGTCAGACAAACACTTGACATAGTTAGCTAAAGGTAGTAGCTCAACGGTGGTGTAGTTATGCTAAGCTAAACATAGCTTACCCTGAGTAATGACTAACTCAAATAGCTAAACGTGACGGAGAAACAGTTGAAATGTTTAGCTAAAGGTAGTAGTTAAATGGTGAAAAAGTTACACTAAGCCAAACATAGCTAAAAATGATGGATAAACAGTTGAAAAGGTTAGCTAACTATTTCAGACGATGTTCAAATGTGGATAAATCTGTAATCGTATTCAGTGTAACAGTGTGTGTACCAACAGCAAAAGACAGAAGTGGGTTAGCTAGCTAGCTAGCCACTCTGTTGTTTGTTCATCCTGTTGTTTATATTGCTTTCTCTCGACACTGAGCTGCTCCATGACTGAGTTCATCACAAAACGTTAACTGCAGCTGCTTTAAGGGTAACTGGCTCATCTGATGGTGAGTTAGCAGTTAGCATTAGCTAGCGTGGCCTCCACCATGACCATGATTTCAACCTGTCAGGTAGATTTGATGATGGTAAAAAACAACAACTCCCATGATCCCTCTCTACTTCACAACGTCGTCAAACTACATTTGTTTGTTTGACCCCGAGCTGCAGAAATTACAAACTGTGCCTTTAAATGTGGAATAAATCAGTCGGACTCTGACCTCGTTTCTTGGATTTAATTGCTGCGTTAACATGAGATGTGTTTGTTTTTATTTTTCGTGACTCCGTGTGTGTCGTGTTTTGTTTTGCAGCAGCAGGGAGACAAAGGCAACAGGAAGCGGTACCTTCCTTCAGACAAAGACCGGCCGGGCTCCCCCCTCAGCAAGAGGATGGCCATGTCTCCAGACAGAGGTGAAAGAAAGACTCATCGACCGATTGGTTCATTACTGCCTTCAGTTTTAAGTTCTGTCAAAGTGTGTGCCTTTGCTCGCAGATTGTGGAGATTAAAATAGGCTTTGTATGCACAAGATAAGGTAAGACAAGGAAATCGTTTTGGCAGACATCACTCAGAAAACAAAATGACGTAACATTTGGTAGTACAGGGCTCAGCAGAAAACAATTAAATATGATACGGTACTGAAACTAAAATAAGCCAATAAAGAGACCAAAGAACACGGAAGTAGGAACTAATACCAGCAGTGACAGTGAGGTGATCAAACATGACACATTAAATCTACTCTGTATATACTAGAGCTGCAACCATTAATTCATTAGTTACTTGATATTAAATTAGTCTCCAGTTATTTTCATAATCAATTGTTTAGTTAGATTTATTTTTTTTTAATCAACATGGTCTAAAATCTCCGACTGCGGCGTCTTAAATGTGAATATTTTCTGGTTTCTTTCCTCCTCGATGACATCGGTTGTCGACTGTGACCTCAAAAGTTAAAATTTAAAAATTGGTGTTTTTACTAGTTTGGGAAATTTTATCTTTCCTTTAATGTGACTTATATGCTACTAGTGTATATATACAAAAGTATGCTGGCATTACAGTAAAGTTTACGTACTTTTGGTTATATACAGATGTTTTAATAAACTGATGTTCTTCATAAACTGTCTAAATGTAAACAGAGTGAAACTGATGACTTTACTACTTTAGGAAATCTTTGTCTTTCCTTTAATGCTGTTTATAGGCTCATAATGTGTGATAGAATATCACCACAGCCATGGCGGTTACGTTGTAAATGTGCTGGCTCCGGTTGGACGACTACTGTTTTGTTTTTGTTTTTTTTAAATTGCACGCATGCGGGACACTTTTGGGTCGTATGAAGTTCACACAGCAGATCACATACAAGTCGCATTGAACTGGAAACGTGAAGGAACTCGCAAAGAAATCAGACTTGAGTTTTAAGTCCTGCAGTGTGAACGTAGCCAATAATACGCCGTTATCCTGATTGGTGACATTAAATGTCATGTCGGAGTCAGAATCCAAGGCTGTCGCTATGTTAAGGCTGTTTTTATGGGTTCTGTTTGTTTTTCCTAAAAACCTGTCGGATAGCAGGTTTAGGATTGTTAAGGGTCGAATTATTGAGTCACGACTGTATGTAGTAGTCAAACGTCCTCTAAATGTAAAAAATGAAACCATAGAGTGAAACCGATTTCTTTAGGAAGACTTTATCTTTCCCTTCATGCAATTTATATCCTAATATAGTCTCTGTATACATAAATATACAAAAGTATGACGTACAGTAAAACTCCCATGAGCTGTTTACATACTTCTGGATATATACAGAACTTTTACATATATTAAATATTTAATGTCCCTCTAAAACTGAAATATGGAACTGTAGACTGACATAGACGTCTTTCCTACTTCAGGGAGGCTTTATCTTTCCCATGATGCTGTTATTATTCTAATACTGTGTCTATTTGTACTAAAATACGCAGTACAGCAAAATTATAATGTATAATGTCTTTGGGATATATACAGATTTTTTTTAATTTATAAGCTGTTTATATCCTGTGAGTAGCATGAAAGAAAACCTAAAGCGGCTCTCTGGTTGTCTAATTTGATTTGAAGTCCAAATACACAAACATCAGTTTTATGCTGTTGTTAATAGAACACAATAAAAGCGTGTCAACAGCCTCCCGGACTACATGAGCATCCATGGACTTTCCACAGTAGCAGTGGCTCAGACTCTTCACACTGTTGTGTTTGCCAGCTCCTCTAAGGTTGTTTTTTTTTTTCTGTTTTTTAATTTTGTTTTTGAAAGGCTGCCAGTTTTGGTCAGTAGATTTCCCAGAACATCACCATAAGGAGCGTGTCCACTTTGAAGTTGTTTTCTTTTTGTAGGACCAAGTGTAGTTGAAGCTCTGGTGTTTATGCAATCGCTCTAAATCATGGTGAGGATGATGAATGAATCTGTAACCAGACAGTAATACTGTGGTTAAAACAGTGACACTACAGGGGAGGTAAGGGTGGGAAGTCTGAAGGAAATGTCGTAGTTGTTAACGCTGTCATTGCTGTAATTATGTGTGATTATGTTGAATATGTACGAATATCCCTAAACTGGAGTTATTGACTGAGATGAAAGCGTGGCGTTGTAGAACCCAGCTCTATTTTTTAGCTCCGCTGCATTTCATCGTAGGCTCCTCATGTTCTCTGTACGCATGAGTCGCGGTGTTTTTACCTACAAACGAGCGCGTCACTGAAGTGTCCACGGTCTGATTACTTCTTGTTCCCTTTGTGATTTGGAAGTACACAGCTGCTGTGAATGTCAGAGTTCAACACATCCTAATTTACTGCCCCCAAAGTGGAAGTTAAAACATTTCATAAAACTTTGAGCAGCTGTTGAGGGATTACACCCTTCTGTTGTACCTTGAACGGCCTCCTCAACTCTCAATCTGCTGTTTTTCAGGCCGCGATAAGAGGATACCCGGCCGACCCCCGCTGTCCCCTCGAATGGATCGACCCAGAGGCCAGGGGCCCCGACCGATGCCCCCCCAGGGAGACAGGTTGGTGCAGCCCTCAGCAAGATTTATTAATGCAGAGAAACCTGTGATGTTTATCCTTGACAACAAACATGGCTCATCTGGAAGTGTGGAAATTCTGAAGTCGACACCTGGTCCTTATCGGCTGCAGCGATGGTGTTGACTCAGGCCAAACTTTTCAGAGAACGAACTCTGACTGACCACAGGCCAGAATGAGGAACAGGCCACAAAAGTGGAAGCACACAGATATTAAACCATCCCTGCATGTGTTGTAATATTCACTGCCTCTTGCACAAAATCCCCACCATGAAACAGGTGCTTTCTGATGAAAATGGATTCAGTTCACAGATAAACAACAACATCTGAAATGACATATTTTAAGTCACGCACTTGAGAGCTGAAACAATATGCATATTAGAGGTCATGATGTTTTGACTCATTGGTATATTTTTTTGTCTTATTATAAGACTTTAAAACACAGAAGTAGGCCTGAATGATTCAAATAAGTTGAATTTTTGTTTTATTTTAATTCCTTTTCATTCTAAATCCTATGCAGATAAAGGTTAGCGAGTGTAGTAACTAGAATAATTCAAATACATCGCTAAAAGTAATGCATAAACTCTTCAAATGTTTACTTAACTGTAATGGATAAATCGTTCAGTGGGTTGTCAAAATGAAGAAGTGTTGGCTAGCTTAAAAATGATGCATAAATATATTAACAGCTTAAAGTCATTGATAAAGGGCTGAAACATAGCTAAGTTAGTTAAAAATGGCTAAAATAGTGAAATGGGTGGATAAACAGTTAAAATAGTTAGCTTAAGGTAGCAGAAACATGGCTACGCTGTTATGCTAAACTAGACATAGCTATAAGTGACAGATAAACATCTTTAGCTGAAAGCAGTAGATAAATGGTTAAGTGGTTAAGCTAAGCTAAACATAGCTTAAAGTTAGTAAGAAGTAGCTAAAATGGCTAGTGGAGGATAAACAGTTGACATAGTTTGCTAACGACAGCAGATAAATGGTAGTGAAGTGAGTGACAGATAAATTGTTAGCTAAAGGTAGTAGATAAGAAATTATGCTAAGTTAAACAGACAGTTAAAATAGTTAGCTAAGGGTTGTAGGTAAATTGTGAAAAAGTATTGCTAAGCTAAACATAGCTAAAAGTGATGGATAGACAGTTGAAATATTTAGCTAAAGGTATTAGAAAAGTAAATTATGCTAAGCTACATGTAGCTATAATGGTGGAGAAACATTTGAAGTAGCTGGTAAATAAGTAGCGGTAGGTAACTGGCTAAGTTAGCTAAACTTAGCCAATAGTGATTAATAAATGGCTAAAATAGCTAAAACTGGCAGATAAACAAATAAAAACCTTATTGAAAAATCACGTGATTTTCATTAGAGGTAATAGTTAGCTAAATGTAGTAGATAAATGGTGGTGATGTTATGCTAAGCTAAACATTGTTGAAAGTGTCAGAAAAGCAGTTAAAATAGCTAAAGGTAGAAGGTAAATGGGGGGGAAAAGGCTATGCTAAGCTAACTTGAGAGTAATGGATTGATATCGGAAAAAGCTGTTAGTTGTGGGTCAAAAGTATTGTAACGAATGTACTGTTAAATAATTAGTGGCGTTAAATCCAGTTTAAAAAACACTTTGAGTGAAAGAGTTGTTCTCGACCAAAATGGCTGCTTTCAAAGATATAAATAAGAGTTGTACGAAACTCGGTGTGAGACGAGAGTCAGCAATCAGCTCCTTCTTACTCTCGCTCTGTGTATTTTTGGTTATTTCTTCTTTTCTCGTGAGTCATGTGAGTAAAACCGAACTCTTTGCTTCTGTTTCTTAGAAAACGTCCTTTGTCTCCGCCCCCCAAGTCGTCCGGGAAAGGCCCAGCGGCACTTTCGGGAAAGCCGACCGCCCCGGGCTCGGCTTCGGCCGCCGGTTCTGGCTCTGCCTCGGGCTCCGGGTCGGGCTCCGGCTCCGGCAAACCCAGCAACACACTGTCCCGCCGCGAGGAGCTCCTGAAGCAGCTGAAGGCCGTGGAGGACGCCATCGCCCGGAAACGAGCCAAGATTCCCGCCAAATAATCAGCCGCTCGCTCCTCGCCTGTTTTGCCTGCACGGCGTCGTGAGGGTCGGAGCGTCGGCCCGCCGCCTTCCAACGGACGTGTAAAAAATGTTGTATGGTTCTTGTATAAAAAGGCTGTTGTGTAAGTGAACAGGAAGTGGCCGCCACGAAAACCATCCTGTGCTTGTTGGCCCTCAGAGACGATGGGCTCTGCTCCGTTTTCAGAGCGCCGTTCGCTCCCTCCGACAGTTTACCTCACCGCGGAGACGGAGGCACAGCCGGGCACTCGGCGAGGGAGGGACGTCTCAGGAATCGGAGAAACAGAAGAGGATCACTTGCTGCTCACTTGGTTCCTTCAGTTAAAAAAAAAAAAACAAAAAAAAAGGAAGCATCTTCCTCATGTGGTGTGACGAGTAACAGATTTATACACATTGAACCTTGCGTCTGTCTTTCTCTGCCCCCTTTTATCGTCGTCTTCTCGCGTCTTTTCCTTAGTTCTCCTCAGTGTGGAGTGGCGTGACTGTCCTGACAGGCTTCACAGCGCTTCTTTGTATAAATCTACGAGTCCGTTCTCAGCTCCTGCAGCCGTCACAAGCAGAGGTTCTGTTCATCTTCACACCGGCGACTCGTCTGCGTTCAGTGCGTTCGGGCAGCAGCGTCGCACTTTGTACAATAATAGCAACTCATCAAGATTCTTTCAAGCGTATGATTATAGACAACAGTGATGTGAAGTATTGCTCTTCTTTTTTCTTTTCCTTTTTTTTTTATCCTGCATTTTCTTTATTAGCTCTTCAAGTGATAAACTGATGTTTAATTTGTGTCACGTTTTTAGTTGGAGGCGTCTGAGAGGTGGAACGGGGACATTTAGAGACAAGATATGTTTTGCTTTTGTGACAAAAGCCTTCTAAATAAACTATTTTGATAAAGAGAAGGTCCCTCGCTTGGTTTTTGTTTCGCAACACATGAAAGGAGAAGGCGTTTAGATAAACATGCACTGTCAAGTGGAATTTACACGTCAGCTTCCTTGTAGTCGTCTTAGCGTTGCACTACTTCCCCAGTGAGTGTCTTAGGGGAGACTGTTCATGGTCCACAGAGGATGAACCCTGGCTGGCAGCTCCTCTGCAGCGCTACGTGGTTGATGGTGGTTTTTATGGTGAAAACCTGTTTTTCTGTGGTTGTTATAAGACATGAAGTTATTGACGTAGCAGCTCCACAACTAGTTAGCCTGTTAGCTTTACAAGACGGTAAGAATTAGAGCTAAATGCTACGTAGCGCCACAAACCAATAGTCATGCAGCTCAAATTCTGTGTATCGCTGCAAGGACAGATCTTAAAAGTTGGTGAAATGTCGACTAAAGACTATTAGTAGGTAATATATAATAATGGAGCTGTAGCCAATCATTTCCATCCACTTCTAAACATCACGTATGTCATGACAGTCTGGAGTTTCCAGTGAATCCTATAACTCAGGCGTGTCCAGTCCTGCATGTTTGAGATGTTTCCTTCTTCCAACACACCTGATTCAAATGATCAGGATCGTTATCAGGCTTCTGCAGAGCTTGATGATGAGTGTGTTGGAAGAGAGAAACATCTAGAACATGCAGGACGGTGGCTCTTGAGGACCAGGACTGGAGATCCCTGCTATAACTGAATGTTCTATGATGGAATCCTTGAAACACGCGACACAAAATCAATCCTGCGTTCATAGATTTATTACAGGTCTTCTGGAAACATGACAAAATTCTGCTGGGTCAGAAATATACATGTGCTGATATTTGAGTAAAACCTCAATTAGGTTCTTCTGGTTTCCATCCACAAGCTTCTGGTTTATCTTTGAGTCCAGACAGGACTTTGGGGAGACCAGTCTAGAACCTTTATTCCAGCCTGATGGAACCATTTCTTCACCACTTTGATGTGTGTTTGGGCTCATTGTCTGGTTGGAACATCCAACTGTGTCCAAGATCAACCTTCTGCTGATGGTTTGAGGTTTTCCTGAACAACATGGAGGTGATCCTTCTTCTTCTTCATGGTTCCATTTACTTTGGCAACAGAACAGCTCCAGAGCATGATGCTGCCACCTCCATGCCTGATGGTAGGTTTGGTGTTCTTGGGGTTAAAGGCCTCACCTTCTCTCCTCCAGACATGTTTCTGCTCAGCTTTTATTCCATCTGACCCGAACTTTCCTCCAGAAGGCCTTTTCTTTGTCCATGTGATCAGACTTCAGTGGAGCTTTAAGGTTCTGCTTCTAGAGGAAGAACTTCCTTCTCCATCAGCCTCTCAGCTCATGTTGATGTCAGACCCTGTGGACCCTGACAGCTGTTTTGTGTGTTTCTGATGTTGTTTTTTGTCTGTTTCTGGTCTTTTTTTCTTTTTTTTTTGTATCTTTGTTGGTGTTTTGTGTTTTTTGAGGTCCTTTCTGTCTTTCTAGTCATTCTGCATCTCCTTGTGGGGATTTCATGTGTCTTTGTGGTCATTTTGTGTCTCTCTGTGGTTGTAAGAACAAAGAATGCAGGACTTAGTATCTGATAATGAGGAAGAGGCTTGTTTGTGGTTGTATGAATTCTCATACAGTCACGCTTTGGGAGGTTGTTTTGCAAGTAAACAGCAGTAAATGAGCACAGACTCCATTTACTTTCTGCCTGCCAATGATCCAATGTGGTTTGATGCTCTGACTAACTTACGCTAAAATGCTTTCTGACTCACCCAAAGTATTTTTATGTACCCAAGCTCCTACGGATGTCTCGTCACGTTCACTCTATCTTTTCCGCATGTCCAGATTTCTGTAATAGTCCTGGCGTCCCTCACAGACAGACCGCTTGCTTCTTGTGTTTACGGCCTCGGAGTCGACGCTCAGTGTTGCATCAACACGTCTACAGGACTTGCGGAAAAGTTACATAACCCAGTTTGACCTCATTCCACACATGTGCAACAAAACCAAAAGTAAACCAGACTACGTTTCTGGATCTGGACGAGTCCCTGATCCTGTTCTAACAGCCACAGTGAGAGGAGACGAGTGCAACTTGCAGTTCAGTGTAGTTATTAACTTGTACTTAGGAATGTGTGTAAATATTCACACAACCCTGACCAGGCTTACGCTCATGATCAAGCAGTACAATAGTGAAACTACAAATAGAAAGCATTAAAGGATTTTGGCCTCCTGCACATTCCAGTGTGAGGTTGGAGATATGCAACATTTCCCAGGACCACGCCGGTAGTGTTGGATGCCATAACCCCCCCTGGCCCCAGCCTACATCCAGCTCCCTTACAGCCATCACCAACAAGCCCAAATCAAACGGGGACTTCAGGCCATCGCTGGATTCCCAAACATAAGTGGAGCCATGGACTGCACCCACATCGCACTCAAAGCAGCATCACTAAACAAATTTAATCATGTTAATAGAAAAAGGGTTTCATTTAATCACCGTACGAATAATTTGCGATGCGCATTTGTCGCGATCCAGCGTTGTTGCCCGGCGGCCTGGAGGAACGCACGACTCATTTATTGAGCAGAACAGCTCTGTGGGTCTGTTGAAGATGGCTGGCTGAGTGTTACAGAGACCAACAAGTCCCAATTCAAGTTCTTAGTCAAGACCAACGACAAATCCATAGTTAAGTCCTAAGTCAAGATCAACAAGTTCCAAGTCAAATCCCAGTTTAAAACTAGCAAGTCCAAAGTCAAGAACAAGCTCCTAATTAGATCCAAAGTCAAATCCACCAAGTTCCAAGTCAAGATCTTAGTCAAGGCTAACAACAAGTCCATAGTTAAGTCCTAACCCAAGTCAAGACCAATAAGTCCCAGGTCTAGTCCCAAATCAAATCCCAAGTCAAGACCCACAAGTCCTAATTCAACAACAACAAGCTGATATTGAGATCCCAAGTCCAGACAAACACATTCACCACCAAGTCCTAAATCAAGACCTACAAGTCCTGAGTCAACAACAAGAAGCCCTAATTTTAATCCCAAGTCAAGACTTGCATGTTCCAAGTCTAGTCACAAATCAAATCCTAACTCAAGACCACTATGTACCAAATTAAGACCAACAAATCCACAGTCAAATCACAAATCAAGACCAGCAAGTCTAAAGTCTTTAAGCCAAGACTAACAATCCCAAGACAAGACCAACAAGTTCTAAGTCAAGACCAACAAATATTAGGTCAAGTCTGAAGTCAAGACCAACAAGTCCTAAGTAAAGACGCAAGTCGAGACCAATACATTCCAAGTCAAGACCAGCAAGTCTTTAATTAGATCCCAAGTCAAGACTAAAAAGTCCCAACTCAAGTCCTAAGTCAGGATCAACAAGCCCTTAATTATATCCCAAGTCTAGCAAGTTCCAGGTGAAGGCCAGTGGATCCAAAGTTCCAAGTCAGAACCAACAAGTCCCAAGTCAAATCCCAGGTCAAGTCCTACATGAACAACATAAGATTCAAGTCATATCCCAAGTCCTAAACAAGTCATTATGAGGTTCTCATGACATTACTTTTATTTCAACCTTTTAGCTTCTGTTTGTGGTCATTTTGCGTCTCTTTGATGTCGTTTTGTGTTTCTATGATTTTGTTTGTTGTCTGTTTTGGTCATTTTTTTGTTTTTTTTGTGGTAGTTATGCATCTATGTTGTCACTTTGCACCTTTTCTGTGGTTGTTTTGTGTGTTTTTGATGTCATTTTGTCTCTTTATGGTCATTTTGCATCTCTTTGATGTTGTTTTTTTTGCCTGATTGTGGTCATTTTCTTTTTTTGTGGTTGTTTTGCGTCTTGTGTTTTGTGTGTCTTTGATCTTGCTTTGTGTCTCTTTGTGATCATTTTGTGTCTTTGTGGTCTGTTTTTGTCTGTCAGTGGTCATTATGCGTCTCTACATGGTAATTTTTTGTCTCTTTTTGGTTGTTTTGTGTCTCTTTGTGGTTGTTTTGCATCTTTTTGATGTCATTTTTTGTCTCTTTGTGGCAGCAAGAACGGAGACTAAATATCAGATGATATCACACGTTGTGCGAGTGAACAGCAGTAAATGAGCTCAGACTCAACTGTCTTCATTCCAGTCGTGTTTGCAGCTCGACTTTCGTCTCCTCGGTTCAGAGGCCGTCTTCCACCAGCTGCAGCTTCTGGTGGGTTTTGGTTTCACAAGAGGCTTCGCCGTGCCGGACGCCCTCAGAACGATCTGACCGATGGAAAGTTAACTGCAAATGCCCCCAGAGATAAAAGGACATTCCTGCCTCCTTACAGATGATGACAGGCGTTGGGCAAATTTACGCTGTGACGGCAGAACTCTGAGCCACAAAACAAACAGAAATGGTACTTTTCTGTCCTGTACGAGTTAGTTAATCTGCAAACACATTTTGATCGAGCGTCTTGTAGCAGCTCTTTGTTAAACCTCATCACTCTGGGCTTGAAATGTTCTATTCTGACACTTAAATATATAATTAAGTTACAGAAACAACAATGCTGCAGCAACAAACCACCAACATGAATGTTCCATCCCTGCTCTGCTCTGATAACAATAATAATAACAATAATAACAATAATAACAATAATAATAATAATAATAAGTTAGACTTTTGGTGCCTTTGAGGACAATGTCACAATAAATGTGTCTTATTCATAATATTTAATATTAGCAGCGATATCTGTCATGATTAATAATCACTGGAGTCAAAAAAGTGACACATAAATACATTAAAATGCT